TTTTCCGAGAGCTATTTATTTGATTGGTGCGCCTTATTAATTAGTGTAACATTTATTAAATTGTACTGGTTTATTTCAGCATAGTGGAAATTCTATTTTTGCAATTGTCACATTTACATTTTAGTAGAAGATCTTCGTGTTACATACATAATAAAATTCGTTTGAATATAACTTTAGATTAAAGAGTTTTTTATTTTTTTGCATGATGTACAAACATATGTATTCGAATTTATTTATTTAAATTTTGTGGTCTTACATATCCTTTGATACATAATAGTAAAGCTTTATATTAATATAATACTTATTGAAGAAATAAAATATGCATATTTGTATATACAGCTATAACGAACACTAAGTAAATAACAAACTTCACTTTTTTATATAATAATAATTAATTTCTCCTTATAATCTTAATAAACACAAATAAAAAGTAGATAGATTCTTATTAATAGTTTCTTGCTTGCTACAGTTCACTCCCTCTATAACGAACCTTCCATAAAATAAACAAATGTTTAAATAATAAATTTTCAATAATACACTAAATAAAGTAAACATACATACATAGTCAAATAAAAGCCAATGTAAAGATCCATATCAATAAGAAAGTTCTGGAAGAATTAATGTTATATGCTCTATATGTAATTTGAACCTTTTATGCATTTTCATGGAGTGTGGTCCTAATACCTTCAAATATCACTAATATGCGTGTATCTTTTCCTACACTTTTATACATTTCTTTAATGAAAGAGTAAGGTATATGCAACTTTTATTTTCTTTAAAAAAAAGAGATATATATATATATTAATATGCTTTTCTTATAATTTTTTAAAAAAGATATATATATGTATATTAATAATAAAAAATAGTGAAATAAACTAACTTTAATACATAACAGTAATTTATTCTCTACGAAGGTTGTAATTTTGATCTTAAAGTTGGAACAAAAGAAAATAGATTGAAAAAGAAGGAGTGAATTAGTAAATGAATGGAAAACATTCTTAGCTTTTATATTCACATTTCATATATGTTGCTTGTTCTTATATATATCATATCATTCATATATTTTATAATAAATTTTATCAATATACCTTATATATTTATATTGAATTCCATTTATTTGACTAAAAATTATACAATTTTTTGCTTCATATGTAATCTTTAGATTGATTTGCATCCAAACATATCCCAAATCTTTAAATGAAAGTGCGTAAGGAAAAGATAATAATTGCATAATTTTTTTTAAAAATAGTTGTTTAATGAATGGTGTTACCCATAACAACACCTGACGTATTTTGAGTACTTTAAACAATTATGAATTTACGTCATACAACATAAATTTATCACAGGGATCATCAAATTGTGACATAAATAGAATTTCCACTATGCTGTTTATTTCTTGTTGAGTTATTCCGTGATAATCGTTTCCAAATTTTCACTTCGTGATACATGTAAATCATTTCCGATTTATATGTTCGTTTCCCGTGATTTATAATTTACTATTTTACACTATTAACAGTCCAATTAAGTGATTATTATCTTGAATTGAAATGTTTTTTGTAATGTCAACAATGTCATCATCATCATCACTTTTTATTGTTGAGTCATCATCACTCAAAACTGTCAGATCAAGATATTTTTGCCAGCCATCAATTACCCATTCTAATCCTTCAATACCTGGCTTGGTCATTAATTCATTTGCTGCATCAAACAATAAGTTTATATTCTCTTTATTTAATTTCCTTATAACATTTTTATTTCTTGCCCAATTTTCTAATGCCCAAATTGCTTAAACCAGTACCTTTTTTCCTCAATGGCATATATCCTTTAGGCCCCCAAAAAAAAATTTTTCCATCATTAGAATAAAATATTGACTCATCATGAGTAACAAGAATGTGTCTTCTTTCACCAGGATTCAAGGATGGTTCAATAATCATCATTATATCATTTTCATCTGGCTTAGGCATCAATCTTTCAAACACTTCCATTTGGGTAAGGAATATTTCTCTGTATTTAACAACATCATCCCTCTCATGACCATCATAATAAATATCTTTATGATGTTTTTGATAAGTCCACCCAAGTTCTTTTAACCATACCCTTGCAGTTTTCTCACTAATATTTTTTTTCTCTTCAATACCAATTTTTGGAAAAACTTCACTTTCAACAAATTCTTTAAAGTTCTTAACTTTAATATCACTCACTTGTTTCACCAGGTATTCTTGTAATTTTTTATTTATGTCCTCATTCCATAGGAGTGATTTTATCTTTGGATATTTACCTTGATTAGAGGCTGGAATTGTGCCAAATTTAAAAACTGTTTTGACCAATTACGAATTAGTCGAGCACAATACTCTCCACCTCCAATGCTTTTGGAAAGTAATAAACTTGCTTCCATTTTTTTACTTCTCATCAAACAAAAGGTTAAAATATTGGCTAATAATTGAGCCTCTTTTTTTTTGGATATCAGACAAGTTTTTATCTTTAAGGAGTGAATTTAAACATATTAAAGCTTCTTTGTAATTCACAATATCTTTCTCATCAAAATTATTATTGGATTCATACAAATTGATTGTGTTATCTATTATATAATTGCTTTCATTATCTTCTTCACTTATAATCAACTGATTGCTTTCCACTTTTTCAAAAAAACTTGTTAGTTTCATTGTATTTGTAGCTGCCATTTGATTTTGTGCTTTTTTTACAACGAATAGTTCTTTCTGAATTTCCCACATACACTAAAGGACGATTAGGCTTGGAAAGAACTTTATTACTAGCATTTTTTATCATCTTCTCAAAGATAGAAATATCCAATTCCTTAATTGTGTTATTTAAAGTTTTGCTTTGCCAATTTATCATCACCAGAATCACTATCAGAAAGTTGGAAATCAGAAAGTTCATATTCATTTACATTTTCAAACTCATTATGATCTGATTCATAAATAGTTTTATCATCATCAGTTTCTGACACAAAATCAAAAGGTTGTTCATGCAAGAGAATGTTTTGAACAAATAAAATTATTAGGTTTATTTTCATTTTTTAATTTTTTTGAAAGTCTAGCTGTTTTAATCTGGAAATTTCTTTTTTTTGGTGGCATATTTAATCAATACTTAAAGACAATATATGTAAATTTATTGGAATGAGTATTTGAGTAAATAAAAAATATTGATGTGTTAATGTTACTGTTACACGATTTTTTAACTCTGACCAGAATTTAAAAAAAGTATCAGCAGATGCAGTGTTCGAAATTCGACTGCGCCTTTACATAAACTAATCTAATTTTAGAAATTATCTGCGGTTAATTTCCATATTTGGTTAGTGCGCGCCGATTCCGCCGATTGAATTTCGAACAGTGAGCAGATGTCATAATTTCCACCCAAATTTAAGCAGCCAAATTCCTCGTGAACATAGTAAAATACATGTACAAAAAGGAATAGAACTCAACAACCCACCAATATTTTGAAAAAACTCTCTGTCACATTAAAGCTTGGGTCCTAATCTATGTCATAACAGAGCTATTTTTTTAAAAATAATATACAGAAATGAACTTCTTTTCTTTTAAAAATCACATGCAAAATTGGTGGTTTAAGAGGTCCCACACCATATGTTCAATGATATTGGAAATTTGAGATAAATTATGTTCAATACAAGAATGTAAATCAACAAGTAAAATGTTTGCAATAGTTTCAGGGTTCATTTTATTGATTATAAAAAATTGACTAATTAAGAATATAAAGAATATAAAGAATTAATACAAGAATTAATTTGATTTCAATTCAAGAAAATTCTCCTATATTTATATCTTTTTAAAAAGCATGTTTTATTTTATATATCATTACATTTAAAAATAGTAAATACATTGACATGTAGTTAAAAATAATGAAGAATAAAAGCAATCTTAATTAATTTAATAAAAAAATAATAATTGAATGATTTGATAAACTTATGAATTAACCCCAAATCAGTCAAAATAAGATTAATGAATTATTTGAAAATAGATGGAATCGTATGGTTTGAAATACATCAAACCTTGTTTCAATGAAGTGGCTGGACATATAAGAAAATTTTGTTCAAAATCCATCAAAACGAAATTATGTTAATCACATTGGATTATTATGTTTTCGTAACATGTAACAAGGTTTTTAAAAATCTGTTGAAATGCAAATTTAATTATAATCCGTTAAATGCAAATTTAATTATAATTTGTTAAATGCAAATTTAATTATAATTCATTAAATGTGAATTTAATTATAATCCATTAAATGTGAATTTAATTATAATCCATTAAATGTGAATTTAATTATAATCCATTGAAATGAGGGTTCAACTGTATGAATATGTGGTTTGGTTTAAAAAAAATTGAATGATTTGATAATTAATTGTAGTCAGTTGGAACAAAATAATGAATTATGAATATGTGGTTTGATTGAAAAAAATTGAATGATTTGATAATTAATTGTAGTCAGTTGGAAAAAAATAATGAATTATGAATATGTGGTTCGATTAAAAAAAATCGAATGATTTGATAATTAATCCTTGAAAATTGGTTATGTGGTTAAAAAAATAGCATTAAAAATGCAAAAATTATATGCATAAAAATTTTTTTTGGATATGTGGTTAATATATTTATGCATGTTAATTTATATATATAGAAATATGGCAAAAATAAAATGCATTTAACATGAATGAACATAATAGTATTAATTTTTTTCTATATTTATTTACTATAAATATATCATTCATCAAATGAATAAATATGGATTCAGATATTTTAATAATATTGCTGTGCAAATTTGTGGATATTTTCGAATATTCTCATGGTTTCACAGAATACTGTGCATATTTTTGCAGATAACTACATGATTATCAAATCTACCAGCAGTCATACTAAGAATCTGTGTTTAAAAACACATTTCTGCTTAAGTTCTGCCTATTTTATTTGCAATTCTGCTTCATTCTGCTATAAAATCTTTATTATTTAATCTAGAATTAATTAAAAACAGTTTAATAAAAAAAAATAAAACAAAAAATTCTTATTCGAATTGCTTGTAGAAAAGAAAATATACATCTATCACTATTATTATTATTATCACTACAAGGAAAACTAATTACACAGTGAGTCTCAGTTTAGTAAATAGTGTTAGTATGGGAGCAATTAAGAAATTTTTTCCAAAAATCCGTTATATTAAGAAGAATTTTATTTATTAAATCATTCTTGACCTCAATCTGTTGAATCAAGATTCAACTGTTGCACCACAACTATTAATTGACTAAAGAAAAGAAAAGAAAAATGGAATGAAATGAGATAATGAACCACAATTTTAATAAGTCCTCTTGCCTAAATACACTGACTCTAACCATTACTATTACTATCAGTTATATTATCTGCTTTGAATTATTCATTTTATTTGAATTGTTTGTTTTATTCAAATAAAGACCTTAACCTGTTTCCATAGAGCCAACGGATTCAGCCATTATGCACCACAACATTACAATGTACAATAATATCAAAACTTCAGAGACATTGATTTGACAAATAACCCCTTTAGATTTTCCTCCATCTTCAGTTTCTTCCATCAAGTTCCATACCCAACTTGACTTCTTAGAACCACTTTTACTTTTCTTTTCTTCAAAATATGAGCAGCAGAATTCTCCCCCTTCTCATGTTCGTATTATTACTTTCTCCTATTATAATGACTGAGGCTCTTCTTCCATTTTAATTAATTAAATGAGAGTTTAATTGATTTGAGCAAATTTTATTTCAATTCACAAGTTATTGATTATCAGTTATTCAGTGAATATTCATTTTAATTTATTATTAAGGCTCTGAACAGATCAGATCAAAACCAGATCAGATCAGATCAGATAAAAATTCTTAATTCATAATTTCTTTCATAAATGATTTTTTATAAATTTTATTATTATTATATATACATAATATCTCAGATCAGGCCTCAGATTCCAGATCAGATCAGATTCAGTATTTAAAGAACCAGATCAGTTCAGTTCAGCTTAAACAGATTTCAGCTCAGATCAGCTTAAACCAGATCTGTTTGATGCCTTATTTATTATATTGTTAATCAATCAATGACAAAATCAAATATCCAATTAACCAAATATTCACTGAATATTATTCATTGGATGAAACCTCTATCATTCCTGTTTTTGATATATACTTCAAGTTAGGGTTGGGATATTTATCATACCATGTGGTATATTACCTGTTATATAATACCATAGTGGCAGGACATCTATGATGGGCATTATGCAACTTTTTGAACATTAATATGTATAATGGCGTGATGATCTTTTCTATTTAAAATTATTTGTAAATATATAAAGCTCCTAACAGGTCGGGTTCGGGCTTGGCCCGAATCTTTTAAAGGCAAACCCGAGACCGGCCCGAACCCGACCCAAAATTTTCGGGTCGATTACGGGTTAATAAGAAAATTTGTGATTTACATAAATTCAGATAATAATAATTAATTAAATATAAAAGGCGAAACAGTTATAGTGGTTTAAAAGCTGCAATTTGTGTTATGCGTGATGCAAAACACAATTCATGATGCAAGAGATTTAGGACGTAATTCGCGATGCAAGACGTAACTCAAGGCAATTCGTGACGCAAGACGTAATTCAGGACAATTTGTGACACAATACATAATTAAAGACACAAGGCTAGTGGATGATGGCCATAGTTTAGGCCTAATTTTGCGGCAAAGTTGGCGAAACCTAAACTGCAGGTGAAAACCAAGTGGTCAATTAAACTCTACTGTTTAATTTCCGACCACAAAAG